ATTTATTCAGTGTCAAGCAGTTATATTAACATTGTTTCTTGAGTACAGACAAAAAAAAAGAAAAATATATATATATCTCTCTCTCTCTCTTTTTGGAGGCCACAGCTTGGGTTTTGTCGTCTGGGAGCAAGTCTATCCTTGTAATTTCCGTAAGACTTCCCATAGACAATGTTCGCATAGCTGAAATACAGCTAGCCAGCCTTTATGTATACACAGTCATCAACATCTTTGCACACACCAGGCGTGGTTCGGCAGTACCTTTTCCCAGGAAATACACCCTTACCCCGACTATATGCCAGCTACTTCGAGAGCTCTTGAGGTTGATGGCAGTGTGTTGGCGCTGGCGACCAAACAGACACCTAGAAGGAAAAAATCCAATGTTCTTGGTCAGGTCCACTGCGTGGTGCTGGGTTCTCCTCGTCATCCGCACGATGTTGCGACATTTTGTAGAAGTGGTCGTAGATTAGACGAGGACATCTACCGAGCGACTTGCTGAGCTTGCTGACGACGCTGCTCAAGAATCTGCAGCCGCAGATTTTCCGCCGCAACTTCCACGTCCAGGGTTGCGCCGACTCCGTTTTTCCATGTTTCTTCCAACCCGGCCAGCTCGCCATGCCCAGCCTCTTGCGCAAGCTTGCGTTCCTTGTGTATATTCTCCACTGTCTCCTTTGTGTCTGCCAGCTCCTTCTCAACACTGCGCAAAATATCTTCCAACTGGGAATTACCAATCAACCAAGCGTTTTTACCGTTCTCTTCAAGAAGAGACAGGTTGGCATGTCGCATGGACAGATGAGAGCTGGACGTGTACGCCTTGACCAAAGCTTCCCGCCACTGCTGCAACGCTTGAGCGGCCTCTTCTTTGTTGGTGGCCTTTCCATCGGGGGCCTCGGGAGCTTCGTAGCGCGACAGATCAATGCCACCCGTGAGCGGAAGACCAGCTTCCTTCCGCGCCAGCTCCTGCTCGACTAGCGGCGTGAAACGTGACTCGGGCAGTGCAGGGATAGCAGGATGAAGTGTAGAGCGGCTTTGCGGCGACAGTTCTGAGGATATCAGCTTTTCGGCTTGGGCGCGAGCTTGGGCGTCAGGTTCGCCGTCGATGTCTAAGAGATTGTCAGTCGGGTGAGGGCAGAAATTGTTTAATCAGTGCAGCTTACAAGGAAGAGACGCGTGCCATTCGTTGATGAGAGGCATGGTGATTATTCAAAGGCAATGTCTGTCGTTAAATAGTCGGGGTTGTGGTGTTGCAGGTGAACATTTGGAAGGCAAAGCGGAAGTTTGTGAGACACAGGGCGGTGAGACTGATTCTGCCGCTCCTACACCAGCCAATGAGCGCGAGCGTAACTGGATTTCCCAGGGGCGCGAAGAAACCTCAAATAATATTTTAGATTTCAGGTAGTTAGTTAATTACACAAGACGACTATCTTTGCCAGGTAAGTGAGATACGTATTCCTCCGGCAAAATCAGCACGCACCAAAACACCGGACGCGGCCTGTGAAGGGCCGAGAGAGCCTCAAGCCGAGATAGAAACAGTCAATACGTAATTAATCCTTCGTTTACAAAAACATGAATCTTCAGCCTCCAATAACCAAGCTTTGGGCAGCCCGTCGCTAATTGGATTAGCGCATCCCTCATTATTGGGCGTACATACCACTCGCTACGATTGGCGGGTGTGCGTGCAGATACCTTGTACTACGTACATAGTAATCAACACACTAAGCAGCTTCACGACTAGAGGCAGGCAGATCCCCGGGCCCCCAGGTCCACTGATCTGTCCACTGGACCCATCTTGTTTCCCAGCTGCCGGGCGCCACTGATAGGGCATATGAATTCGCCCGCCTGGCGATACCACCTTCCCCGCATCCCCTGCTCAGTGCCAGAAGCGCGTTTCCTCTCTGGGGTCGTGGTTGCGATCCTGTTGCGATCCAGTCATTCGTTGCAAGCATACTAGTAGTCTAGTACTACTAATGCTACGTACTGGTACGCCGTCTCGATCATGCGCGAGCTTGCCATATGGGGAGCATCGTCTGTTAAAAAGGAGCCGGGGGGCCCTCGGTCTCGCCTGATCCATCTCCTTTACCAAAACCGCTTCTTCACGACTGGGGAACCGGGTTGCTCTCGACACGACTGTGGACATAATCCTCAATGGCGCGTTCTGGATTCTTCGCTCTCGTTGTGGGAGCTTCACTGGCCCTGCTGATACTTCTACAACTAGTCACAAACATCGGCCTCCGCGAGACTTCCTCGCCCTTGAACCTCCCTCCTCTCAAAGAGACCAGATCAGACACAGATGATGACAGTGTGTTTCTCCTAGGTGTTGGAAAGGCCGATATCACAGGGTAAATGAACTCTGTCCTCCTTGAAAAAGCACTGCTCGCGTGCGTACGTCCAAAGGAGCTAACAGTCCCTCTCATCTAGACCCGTGGTGGAAGTCGGCCTGAACGGCTATGCCGATCTGAGTCAAGTGGGCACTGGCCTGCGACAGAGAATCTTCTCGCGAGCATTCATCATTGCCGATCCAAATAACACCGACAACACGATTGTGTACTTGATAGTGGATGCGCAATCAGGCGACACTGCTGTGCGACATGGTGTCTTGCAGGGGCTGGCCGCCCTGGGCGGAGAATATGCCCGCTATGGCGAGCATAATGTAGCCCTGTCAGGGACCCATGCACACTCTGCCCCAGGCGGCTTCATGAACTATCTCCTGCCCCAGATCCCGACGAAAGGATTCGACAAGCAAAGCTACCAGGCTCTAGTCGACGGCGTGCTGCTGTCGATTCAGCGCGCCCATGAAAGCCTAGCCCCAGGTCGTTTGAGCCATGGTACTACTGAGATAACTGACGGCAATGCCAACAGGAGTCCCTATGCATACTTGGCCAATCCGGAGGAGGAAAGGAGTCAATACGAATACAATACCGACAAGACGATGACGATGTTGAGATTTGACCGCACTTCAGACAGCAAGACGACTGCCGTCCTGACCTTCTTTTCCGTCCACGGAACGTCACTTTATGAGAATAACACCCTCACTGCAGGAGACAACAAGGGTGTCGCTGCCTGGCTGTATGAACGCAGTGTCGCAAACGACACGCGGTATGCCGACGACTTTGTGGCGGGCTTCTCGCAATCAAGTGTCGGCGACACCACGCCAAACGTGCTAGGGGCTTACTGTCAAGACACCGGGCTGCCATGCCGCTTTGAAGACAGTACATGCAACGGCAAAACGGAGCTCTGCCGCGGACGAGGACCATACTTTCAGGAAAACGATTACGGAGCCAAGAGCTGCTTCGAGATGGGCCGCCGCCAATATTCTGCGGCCAAAGACCTCTATGAACAGATTGGATCGAATGGTACTCAGATTGTTGGAAGCTCATCGGTTGCGTCTTACCACGTTTACCACGACTTTACCAACTACACCTTCCCATCCCCTTTCAATTCATCTACATTGAAAACATGTTATGCCGCACTCGGATTCAACTTTGCCGCTGGTACGACCGATGGACCAGGGCAGTTTGATTTCACTCAAAACGCTACAGGACCGGCAGAAGATAACCCTGTGTGGTACGTCGCAAGGGCATTTATACACCAACCCTCAGCGGAACAACAGGCCTGCCAAGCCCCCAAGGACATCCTCCTCGATGCAGGAGCAGTTTCCCTTCCTTACGCCTGGGCTCCCAATGTCGTGGATATCCAGGCTTTCCGAGTCGGCCAGTTGGTGTTTATCATCTCACCCAGTGAAGTGACTACGATGTCTGGACGTCGATGGAAGTCGGCCGTTTTGAATGCATCAACCGAGGTGTTGGGGATTGAGGATCCCTTGGTTGTCCTCGGATCCCCTTCTAACTCGTATGCCCATTACCTGACGACTGAAGAAGAGTATGGCGTCCAGCGCTACGAGGGAGCGTCGACATTGTACGGGCCGAACGAGTTGGCCGGATATGTAAACCTCACCTTGACATACCTCCCTTACTTGGGCAGTGCGTCGGACGTGTCAAAGCTGGCTCCTATTCCCGCCGGGCCAACCCCTCCGATCAACACGAATGACTCCCTCAGCTTTATCCCTGGTGTGGTCTACGACGGCGCCGCGAGCGGTCAATCCTTTGGCGATGTTTTGTCCGCATCTCCCAATGTGACGTACGGGCCAGGCGACACCATCAGTGCGACATTCGTTGGCGCCAACCCGCGCAACAACTTGCACCTAGAAAGCACATTTGCCGCCGTCGAGTTTCTCGACACGTCTTCCGGCTCGTGGAAGACTGTGCGGACGGACGCCGACTGGAATCTGATTTACATGTGGAACCGCACCAATACCGTCCTGGGCTACAGCAACGTCACCCTGGCCTGGCAGATTGAAGACGATTTCTACGAGATTGGCAACCCTAATCCCGTCCAGAGCGGGTCCTACCGACTGCATTACTATGGCGATTCCAAGAGTGTCAGCGGGAAGATCACGTCCTTTGATGGTGTCACCGGTGCTTTCAAGGTATCGGTCTAGGCCTGTTGTCTCTTTGAGAAATTTAACCCGAGATGTGTGATGAGTGGCTAGCTACCTAATTTTATATAATGACGCTTTATTTTTATATTTTTACAATCGCTCGTTCTTCGTGTAGAAATTTGCAAAACCGTCGGCTAACAGTATACAAGTAAAATCAAACGTGCCAAGCAGTTCGTTAACCAGCCCGGTGTTGACCAGCTTCGTGATTAAATCACTTGATCAATCATAGCATCGTGACACTAAGAAGCCTGCCCTCGTGACATCTAGTCCTAGAGCAGGTGGCCTCGGAGATGGAAAAAGTCCTTGTTTCGATCCGTTCAATCCTTCATGCCCAATTACCATCGCTATACTGCATTCCCGAATACCAACCCCACATATTAACCGTGGTCTGCCCGTCCGCGCCGTGAAACCTGGACAGCTCTCCCACCCAAAACCTCAATCCGTCTACTCTTACACCGTGAACGTTTTGGTGTCTTATATATCACTATGAAGTACCCCATGTATAGCATCGATGGTGTAATGGTAGCACGAATGCCTTCCAATGATATCTGAAGATATCCATTGTTGGGCCAGCATTAGACCCGGGTTCGATTCCCGGTCGATGCAATCTTTTTTATTTATTGGTGAAGCATGGCTTTATTTTTTTTTTTTTTGTATTGATCCTTTGGTGGATTTTCTTTGCCTTAACCAGGGGGTATGCAAAAGAAAATACAAAGCTGCTCATTGCGCGGCCTGGTGGAGTGAGTGCCCAAAATCGGTGAATCCTGGAGGCACAACGGGATGTTCTAAATTGGTGGGATTGTTCCTGAACCTTGCCTGTTCGGGTACGTTTATTGCATAAAGCGAGAAGTAATAATAGTTGTTATTTTATTATTGTTTTATTTTATTTTTATTTTTATTTTTATTTTATTTTTTTTTTTCTAGTTTGTTTTATCTTTTTGGGTTGGTTGGGAGGTTTCAATGTGCTTTTATTATCATGCATATTGAATTCAATGATCAATGACCTAGAATCCCTCTCGTCCTAGAACCCGAGGATATTGCGTTTGAGTTAAAAACACGTCTTGGCAGGTGCTTTACTGTTTATAATGGAGTCAACGTATCTTATTATTTTGTCGGGGCGTCGGGAGAGCAGGTTTGGTCTACTGATGATATAATAATGAGAAGGATTTTTCATGTGCGAGACATTATTATTTCTTCCGGCGTCGTAGCGCTAACTTGAGAGGACCGTCGCATACCCTCCCAACTAATTATATAAACAGAATGGACGGGTTTGCCGATAGTGCAGCCTGTTAAACCTCAACGTTGTATCATCGTGTAGTCAACACATACAACGAGATTTGGAAGAAATCAACGGCTTTTCCACGTTACCATATAGTTTATGGTTTTGTTCTGGGCAACGAGGAGAGTTAGGGAGCTTGTCAAAGGTCACCCATGGGCGTGGTCAGACCGGTGGAGACAGGGAGGAGATAGGATTGGGGGATCTCCAACATTTGAAACGAATGTTTTCGCAGCTCCCTCTTTTGTATATATATATTTCTACGTACCATGACATGCTCGATTACTACGACGCTAGTCGAACCAAGAAGAATTCTGTTCTAAACGTGAATACATAAGCTCCTCCACCTCGTGAACCTTATGCGCCCTTCGTTGTTCTGCGCAACAGGGCATAATGTTAGGACATGCAAAAGAAGAGAAAGAATAAAAGATGCAGAGCAATCCCGGGACCCGATTATGTATACATATTGTTGTGAGAATAGACATAACAGCCCATGCGGCCTCCAGAATACGAACAGTCATTTAAGGGCATGAGTAAACAGAATTAATTTTAATAGCGGTTCAAACTTGTATGGTCAATGGTCAGTCTATTGTTTTGTGTAGTTATGTATTTCGTAATGCGGCCGAAAACGGTTGGTTGTCCTTGGAAATCATAGAAAATGCCTTCCGCCTGTTATGCTATCTTGGAAGGCTTGACTTGATACTTTCTTTCCCGCCCCCCACGTCTCTGGGAAAAGGGTCTGTAGTATAATTAGAAGCACAAATGACTGCAACACGAGTACGTACGTGAAGCAGCCACTGCTAGCCAATCACGAGGTGTCTCAGCCTGTAGTTCCCGTGGGCCAATGAGGCCGCGCAGATCCCTGCCAAGCCTGCGTCTGACCCCACTGCGGCGCCAAACAGGTCAAACAAGGCTCTCCCCGGCCAGTCGTTGACCGCCCCACCTGCCGTTCTGACGCTCTTATGCTTGTAAGCTCTATCTTCACCTTCATTTTTATTTTTACCTTGGTGCAACTCGCCTCTGTCGACGTGGTCTCGATGCTGGTCTCGATCATGGTCTGGACCGAGCTGCCGTCCCTAGGGACTGGTTGACTAGGGGTTGTGCGTTTGAGGATTTGTATCTATCGATTTTTTATATTGCTATATACATACCTCGTGGTTTCCTGCCATGTCACTTTCTTCAGCTTGTCATCGTCCTTCGCTTTGAAATCGTGGTGCTGTGTCTTATTTAACTTGTATTATCCATTAGAAACCACTGTCTTTATTGTTCTACATTTCTCGTTCACTTTCTTTTCTTATCTTTTCTAACCATATCTTCGTGCCTCGTGACTGACTGACTGACTACATCGTAACCAGTCACTGATTCACTCATTTTTTCACGCATATTGTCTGACTGCTTCCACTCGTTTGGCTGGCCCAACAGAAAAGAATATTTTCTCTTCTTCTATTCCCCTCCTTTGGCTTCTCGCGAGCTTTTACCAGCGGCACTGCAGCACTATCGATATCCTGGCGAGGACGCATGTCCACTCTCTCATTCAAGATGAGATACCCAGTATTTTTGGTGACCATCGTGACGCTTTTTGCGTTTAGCGACATGGCCAGTCCTATGCCACACAGACCACTAGGAAGACGAAGTCCTGATGGGCAGAACACACCATCTAGTTCTCCGGCGCCGCCACCAGCTACAACACCCTCCGGCCTAGGAACAACCACTTCTCCCCCAAAGTCACCAAGCCAGCCTCTGTCTACGCCAAAATTAGTGACTACATCATCAAGTGCATCTGTACGTCCTTCCTCTAGTGCACCAGTCCAATCTCCACTTGCTAGTCTTCGGGCCTCTGGAGAACAAGGCACTCCGGACTCTCTTGCAACGGCCACTACATCCCCTGCAACAGCTCCTTCTTCGGGAACTGGGACAGGCACTGCTGCACCAACAACTGCCACTGTCTCTGCACCGGCTCCTCCTGCAAATAATCCTGCGACGACAGCTCCTCTTACAACGACAACTACCTTCCTTGCGCCAGCTCTTCCTTCAGATACTGGAACAAGTGCTAATGCACAAACTACTGCCACGTCTGCCCCGGGACATCCTACAAATCCCCCTACAACGACAGCTCCATATATGACGACAACTATTGCACCCCCTGCAAATACACCTACAACGAAACCTCTTACAACTACTGCGCCCCTTTCGTCGGCTACTTCTGTAGGTACTGAGCCATTTACCACTACCACTGCCTCTGCGCTGGGCCCACTTGCAAACACCCCTACAACGACAGCTCCTCTTACAACGACTACCATACCTCCTGCACCTCCTTCGGGCAATGGGGCAGGTACAGATACACCGACCACGGCCATAACTACAGCAACCACCCCGTTTACCACTGTACGACCCAGTAGCACAGTGCCACCCACTGCACCTCCGGAAACAACGGGGACATCCGGTGCTCCGCCTCCAGCGGCTCCTCCTGACCCAAGTCCTACTGCACCAACCACCACGCCCTTCAACCCCGCGGCGCCAAATGCAGAAACGTCCGGGGTCCCCGATGACTTTACGGTAACGACGACACAGCCGGACACCACGACGTATATAATTGGAACCAAAACCTCCTATGTGACCGCGCCTACTAGTTTGCTTGCAACCACAACAGCTTCCCTACCTAGTATAACCATCATAACGGCTCCCAATCCAAATGCCGAGTCGACTGGCGGATCTACTGGTCCGGGTTCTTCCCGTCCAGATAACCAGTCGGCTGGTGGATCTACCGAACCAGATACAAACCAACCCCCCACGGTGACGGCGTGGATGACGACAACAGTGACAAGTACAATGACAGTAACCGTGACAGAATTTATGACGAGTACTGTTACGAGCACTGTCACCCAAGCCCCAGCCCAGAACACTCCTTTTTAGTCCTGGATGATTCGAAATTTATCATGAGACCGGTTTCAAACGATTCTCATGTTGAATCTTTCATGGGCATCAGCTATCTTGTTTCTTTTTTCTTGGTTTCTTTCTTTCTTTTTTCTTTTTGTTCTCTAGCAATTCACACAGTACACTTATCCATGAATTATAGGAGCCGGATTATATCTTCTACATTAATACAAAACATGTCCAATAAACCCTATTTTATCTTCCATAAACCTTTCGTTTCCCCTCCCCTATCTTGATTAATATACATGTAAAAATTCTATGCTAAATAGAGTATAAATGCCCCCCTTCCTCCATAAATTTCTGTTGAAATTCCTTGAAACTAGCCCACTGCTTCATTCCTTCCTCCTCCTCGCTGCTCCCGCTTCCATAGCTCATTGCCCGGAAATTCGAGTCCGGACTGGGAAACGCTGCAGCGGCAGCGGCAGCAGCAGCGGAGGAAGCAGCCATCGTCGTGGTGGTAGGAATAGTAGGAGCGGGAGCTATTGGAGGAGGAGCAGCAGAGGAAGCAGCGGTAGACAATGGGTCTAATGGGTTGGTGAGGGTGTTGATGTGAGGGGTATTATTAGTATCGATATTATCGGTAGTTGTAGTGGAGTTGGTAGTAGTAGTAGTAGTAGTAGCGGCATTGTTGATGGTATTTGTTACCCCGACACCTTCTAAACGGACGAGAATTTCGAGGAATGTGCGCAGATAGTTTTCAGCGTCGATAGTAGATAGCGGCTGGGGTCCAGCGGTTGTAGTGTTGTTAGTTGGCGTGTTGGCAATCGTCGTGTCGGGACCTCGCGGTAGACTGAGGAGGGTTGATGCGATTTGGCGGACTTTGTTTGTCTATTCTAGATGTTAGTACACCATCACTACCCTCCCCCAAAAAAGATAGAGCGTACAAAACTAGCGCCGTTTGGCTCAATGTGGATTTCCTGTACGCTTTTCAGCAGACAGAGCAGGTCTTTGATGACCAGACCGCGCTCTTCACGCATCATCTTCCCAATGTAATCCATCTGCGCGTGCATATCCGCATCTGGGGTTGTCCCTCCACGAGGATCGGGTGCTGTTGCTGGTGGTGCGGTCAACCCGTCCGGCGACGGCATCTGTGACGTTGTCATTGGTTGCTGTTGGAATTCCAGCCGTTTGTGGCCCTCAAACAGAGTCCAGTATTTATCGACAAGATAAGACCGAGTCGAAAGCTGGGTGATGTATATGTTTGCCTTTTGGATCTCGTATTGGATTTTGCGCCGGTTGGCCGCCTCCATGTCGTTCTCGCCCATGTTGTGCCCAAGGTTCATTGATGGGGATAGCGTTTGGACCTGCGGAGTGAGTTGGAGTTCTGGTGGCAACTCTGCGGTGATCTTCTTGGCCTCTTGGATACTTTCCACGATCAATTGCCTCTGTCTTTCCCAGCCAAGAAACTCGTTGGTGCCAAACGCAATCTCCAACGCTGCCAGGGAATTGTAACATTGGAAAATGCGCACGTTTGCATTGAACCCGGTCAGCTGCGGCACAACCCCTACTGGCTGGGGATCCATGTGCGTGGCAAACAAGTACTCATCATCGATCTCGACGGGCAGCGGAGGATACCGATCCGTGGGGGTTTCTGGAGGCACGTAGATCCGCCCGTCTGTGGAGCCAAGTTGGTGTAACGTCTTGAAGCCGGAAATACAGACAAAGAAGAGTCGCCTGCCCAGCTCCTGCGCCAGCAGATTTGCCGTTGTGGCATGAGGTTCGTCAAACTGATCTGATGGGCCGCCAGTCGACATTGGAGACGCGGGCGTCGGGTTAGGGTCTGGAACCTGCTGACAGGGTGCATACAGATTGTAGACGCGGAGAATGGTCATGCACTCGCCGAGATACATGCGGCAGCGGCGCACGTTGTACACGTAGGCCGAGCATAGGGACAGATGGTAGCTGATGGCGGCGTCTTCGGTGGTGTTGCTCGTGTCCAGATAGCCCACGCCCCGAGCTTGAACGGAGACGTCGTGGCACTTCTTGACCAGCGTGATGGAGTTTGGGTACATTTGGCGCTCGGCATCTGTTCGAAGGTGCAGTTTTGGGCGACGTGGGAAGGACGCGACCAGAGAGCCGATCATGGCGGCCAGCAGCGCCAGAAACCGCTTGTTGGTGACATCCTCTCGCCTGGCAAAAGCCGCTCGAAAGCTCGGCTCGTGAGGGACAGGGACAAGAGGGTGGATAAAAGTGAAGTAGTCGTCGACTAGCAGCTGCAAGGTCGGCAGCGGGCAGATAGACTCTGCAAAAACCGCATTGGCGGTGGTGGGTAGAAGCACTGGTGGCGGAGTAGCAGCAGCAGCTTTAGGCGCCGTAGAGGAAGCTAGATTGCTCTGCGACACATCTTCCTCGATCTTTTGCTTCTTGAGCGACTCGGCGTGCCGGTTGGGCGGCCCTCGTCGTCGGCTTGGACGGTTGTAAGTGCACGGAATGTCCAGCGCAACGCACGACTTGCAGGGCGGACCGCCTTCGTCACACTGTAGCTCCAGAGTCAGCTTTCATCTGATGTCCTCCTCCATCTAATAATGCGCCTACTTTTACTTTCCGGATGCTGCATGCGTCGCACGCCTTCCGAAGCCTGGTCTTACCATCCATCAACGTATTTTATCTGCGACCCAGGGCATGCGGTGCCCTGGGGCTTCTATTCCCGAGCGTTCATTATTATTTGTCTTTATAGCTTCTTGCTGCTCCTGGTTTCCAAACGAAGAAAGACCTGACCTGCGTACTCAATCAAGTACGAAGCGTAGTTAGACAATAGTTAAAAGAGGTAAATCTCAACATAACCGACGAAAAAAGGTTAATAGGCGGCGATTTAGCCGAAAGTGTGATCGGATCGATGTCACTTCATAGTCAACAATATTCGGATCAATCTTCCGATTAATAGTCCGACTGACCCCAATGTAGGCAATCCACGGGTGATTAAGAATGATAATCTCTAAATATTATATATCAAGTGCGTGTATCATATATACAATCAAAAATGCACGGAAAAGGTGCAAAGACACGGTGGGCTGTATTTAAACAGCAAGAAGCAAGCAGCAAAGTGGTGCTTTGCGCAACATACGTACGTACTACTTACTACTAGGCCTCTACGTATTGTATTTGATACCATATTTATACACATTATCATTAGTTAGTTGCTCCTATACGGGGTTATCCTGATACTCGGGGGCAGCGTCTTCGCCTTCTTGGTTCTCCAGGAACTGTTTCCACTTCTCCATCTCTGCTGCCCACAGGGCTGAACCAGCCGCGCTGGTGAGCAGGAAGAACATTGAAAGAAAGGGGATCAGTTGTAACACCAAGGCCACCGTTCCGAACCTGCAATGAGCTGTTAGTAGGGAGACTAGGGGGCAAAAAGAAAGAGGTCTGCAAGCTTACGCTGTATATTTCAGCTGTCGATCCCGCACAAACCGTTTTCTATCTTCTTTGGTGAAACCCATAAGCTGGAAATATCTCCAGTGGTGAAACGGGCCCGCGCGGTATCCAGTCAAGACCAAGAACATTGGCACCCCGGCCACGGGCACGAAATTGAGCGGCAGGAGAATGACAAACTCGACGATTTGGCGCAACGAGAATGGCGCATAGACGGCGCTCGTCGTGGGCTTGCCGAGCTTCTTGACCGGGTTGTCGCCGTCCGGATGGAGGACTCTCTCCCTGCTGATAAGCGATTCCAGCCCTTCGTTTAGCAGAACCGCGTCAAACACGTCAACCTGGGTCTCGTCGACGAAGAAGGCTTCGAACAGCAACGCGACTATGGCGGCGCCCTCGCCCAGCACCAACACTGCTCCATTGATCCAGGCCCCGTTGCCTTGGAAGATGGCGAGAAACGCAACTTGTGGCAGGTAGGTGAAGACAAACAGAAGCGTGTAGGCGAAACCGGACAGCAGCGTAATCGGGAGCAGGCGACTACGGAACAGAGGCCATAGGAAGGGGTGCGATACGAAATAGACGATGCCCTAGAAAATGAGTTCCGTAAACGTCAGCACGCGCGCATTTGACAAAAGGACGAAGTAGAGAAGACTGACTCGGATAGGATGTAGCCAGGTCGCGTTGCGCAGTCTCATCGCGTCCGCCATTCTGGATCTGCCTCAAGCATGCCACAATCTCGTCTAAGGAGACCATGCACTTGTATATTCGTGAGTTTGCAGTGGAACAGTTGAAACTATTCCTGATGCCTGAGAACGGAATGGGTTAAGCCTCGGCAAATAGTCACGTGTCTACAAATGGCAAGCCGCAAGTCAGCACAAGTTGCCATAACATGATGATGCACTTATAGTAGTAAGAGATATCAACAAGAAAGCGTAAAGAACAGAACAGAGACTACTGGAAACTAGTAAAATACCCCATTTCTAGAAAAAGAGCCAGCAGTGGTAGATCAGGGCATCAGGTCCGTCAGGTCAGGTGCGCCGCTTATCGATAAGCACACACGTATTAAAGTCGATTTTTTCCGCGCCCGAACGTTTTCCTTTTCTTCTTTTTCTTTCTCATACATAAAACTACACCCCTTTCTATTCACTCTGATTTCCAATCTTGCTCTCATGGATCTTCACGAGGGGAAATGAAAGGGAAGAGGGACTGTCGCTGCTACTTACCCCGAAACTTCCGATTGTATGGAGGATTTTGGAAATAATTACAGCGCAACATGCCAACTTCTTACTCGCATGTAATTCTGTCTGGACAACATACAAAAGGGTGCATGGTAATGGAATCGGCAATCTTGGACACGTGCCAATGGTTCGTAGTCCTCCCAGACAGTATTGGGCGATGGGCGATGGGCGATCCAGCCTGCCTACTACACATGTAGGCCGCCCCAATAACATCGAATGGGGTTGCGGTAGTAAATAGCCATGTATCCCCCATTCCTGTGCTCGTCATCTTTCGACAGGTAAAGGTATAGCTTAGGTGCTGGCTTGTACTTTGGACTTATCGACGATGGCGATATTCTCCGAGAGCGTGCTCTTGCACCGAGAAGTCTCTGGAACGGAAGACGGACTCACGGTGTGCTAATTAGTAATTATATGTTATTGCATGTATACCCCCAAAGCCATATGCTGGTGTAAGCCATGGGAAATGGCAACTTTTGTGTCAGAGTTGTCTCTTTATCCTTTTTCTTTCTTGTCGCCGGTTTTCCGGGGCATTTCATTACTCCGGAGTCTCCGCCTCGGAACAGACAGACACGGAGCATATGGAACCTATAGCCAACCTCGCGCCGAAGTCTGCGATATGCGGTAATGTGGCCGAGTTGGTTAAGGTAAGCTCTCTGCATGGGAGTCTGAATGTAAGAACACCATCTAATGCTGGAAATAGGCGTCAGACTTAAGCTACAAAGAACCTCTTTGTACGTGTTCTGATATCGAAAGATGCAAGGGTTCGATCCCCTTCGTTACCAATATCTTTTTTCTTTTTTTTTTTTTGCCCGTGACCTTTCAGTAGGAACCAACGTAAAATGTCTGGAGTTAAGTGTAGAATATGTTAAATATTAAAAATAATTAAATGTCAAGAAAGCGTGATTAATTCGAAGCTTTGCCAGTTTTTGAGGCGGGCGGCGAGACTTGCTTTTACTCCCGTCACATCACAACCACCACCTCAGTCTACAGCCTCTTGTTCTGTTAAATGACCGACGACAACAACTACGAAGTCTTCCGAGAATGCGTGTCGGCGGCCATTGTCCACAGATCGGACGCAGCCCATAAGAGTCCCGTGAAGAAAAAGACTCGAGGCCGAAAGCGCGGCGACACGGGGACAGACAACACCAGCAATGGTAGAATAGAGAAGCAGAACCCAGAGGAGCTGGCCGACTTTATCGACGTACGTTCCCTCTCATTCAGCTTATTACTGCTGGTAGTGCTAGAGGAAAGCTAACACGAGCTGCTCTTTAGTTCATTGCATCAGAGATATTCTATGCGCTGCCTGATGAGCTCCAAACGCTGTCATATTCAAAGACCCAAAACGACGCAGCGCTGGCAGATCGATACGAAGACCCTTCCGAACTGCCCGCGTCTGCAATAGAGGCCTGGACGGCGGCAACTCCAGTGTCCGTGTCAGAGTCGCTGTCGGTCTATGGCATTGTCCCCGAGTCGCTTGACTTGACTGCTACGTTCACCCGGCCTGTCCTCGCAGACTACATTGCCTCGGTCACGGCTGGCCCTCCGGCCTGGGCGTCTACTCGTGTCGATGCCTGCGAGATATGTGACCGGGACTGGATCCCGCTGTCCTACCACCACCTGATCCCCCGAGAAGTCCATGCCAAAGTGCTCAAGCGTGGCTGGCATGAAGAGTGGATGCTGAACAGCGTCGCTTGGCTGTGTCGCGCGTGCCATAGCTTTGTGCACCGTATGGCGAGCAACGAGGAGCTTGCGCGCGAGTACTACACCATAGACCGAATCCTCGAAAGGGATGATGTTCAGAACTGGGCAAAGTGGGTTGGCAGGGTCCGTTGGAAAGCTAGGTAGCTGCTTTTTTTTTTAAAAAAAATAAAAGGTAGTGGGGGTGGCCTTATATATATGTATATGTATATGTGAATTTTGGCATAGACACTGGATGTCAAACCAAATAAAACATTTGGAGTTGATCTCTCAGATACAAACAATCTGAAACCATCTGATTTATAAAATTATTATCAAGAGTCTTCTACCAAAGGATCACAAATGGGCTGCAAAAAGCAGAAACCATGTCTTTTGTTTTCTCTTATAAAGGATTGCAAAACAGAACAAAACAATACCCTAGCTACAGTGTGAATGCTTTCCAGAACACAATACAAGATGAAACATATTCAGGGACAATTCACCCATTCACTGAATAGTGAAGAGGCATTGACTGGCACATCGTGTGTTGATGCCCTGGAACTTCCCTGGCAACAACCAGGCCCAGCCATCCCTCACCTTCCTCCTTTTTACACACATATACACACACACAGTCTCTCTCTCAGCCAATTCTTTTCTTCTCTTCACCACATGGTCACTTCACTGATCTTCTCCATCTCACCATAAAAAGTCTCATCCTATTGCTATCCTGCGCCACATTCTCTACCTCTGCGATCTCACAGCAATTGTCTGTTGCGAACCTCGCTTTGCTGTCACCTTGCTCTTCACCTACGCCAGTCTCGTCTCAAGGTAGATTCTTTCACCCAGTGCCTGCAAAAAAAAGGAAGCTTTTCTGCAGTATTTAAAGCGCTCAACGCAGTTCTCATCTAAAAGATGGACAATCTCAAACTGGAGGGTTACGAACATACAGTATGTGCTCGGGATGGCTTTCATTGATCAAACACACATAGACTGACATGTTGACAGAACTACCTCGTTCATATTTACGTGACATATGCCAATTCCGTGATTCAAGACTGCGTGTTGAAAAGCAAGAAGAGAACCATCAGCCGCGCCAGAATCGAAAAGGACATCACTCGCCTCATCCACCAGAATGAGGATCTCTCCTTGCCATTCAAAATAGCTTGCACCAGCATGGTTATACGACCTTTCTATTTTAGTCGTCCTCAATTGTGTCAGCTAACGTTTAAGTTTTCTTGAAACAGATTCTCCACACGAACATGTTTGACTCCTTTTGGTACGGATGCAAGATGAGCGCAGGCCTCTCTTCTCGATCGATCAAGCGAATGACACCGGAGTATGACCTTGTTGATGAGATACCATGCCCACGCGACACTGATTCGTCAGGATCAACAACAACAACAACAACAGCAACAACCGACTCTTTGCTCTTGACTCCAGCATCATCCAGCAACGGCGACAATGGAATTGTAGGCACTGGGGATGAGGCCAACACAAACGGAAAGAAAACAGCAGCCGCTGCAAAGAAGAATGGCGCCAAAAGGTTGCCTGCAAAGCGTAAAGCTCCAGCCAAACCAAAAACGAAGCGGGCCAACACAAATCCCAAAACCAATGCTGCTGCAGCCGCTGCTGTTGCCGCGAAACCCACCAGGGTGGTCAAAAACACTGCGCCGCCAAAGGAAACGCCTCTACAGCCATTGAGACGCACTAATAGGCCAATCGGTCCTACCGCACGCGAGGCTTATGAGATGTCTATGGCTCGATACAAGGATGAGCAGTATACATGTGGTGGGCCAAGCAGTGGGACTGATTCGTCGGAGTCTGACGACGAAAGTGATTCTGATGAGGAGAAGAAGACCGGAGTGAATCCCATTAGAAAATGAAACCATCAAGGCAAGCCACACAAAATAAATGCTGGCGCCTTGGGCGAAATATGGATGTCTGGGTCTTTTTTGTCGTTCGCTATGGAGGTTTTGTTTTTCTTTTCTTCTTCTTTTTTGTTGTTCTTTTTAATGGGATAAGAATAGCGTACTTTTTAGATTAAACAGAGCAATTGAGCATTATTATGCACGTTTAAATAATAATGTGTTTCATCTGAAATATGCGTGCAAGGGCCACTAGCCCTAATTCATAGCAACTAGACCCCAAGTTATTCCCAGTTTTTATCAGAAAAAAAAAAAAAAAAAAAAAAAAAAGAGGGAAATTTATTTCCAAACGTGTAGAGGTATTTCTATTTATACATGATAGGACAAAATGGCATGTCTAGTACCAGACAATAACATCGTCAATATCCTCCCAACTCCGACTATGCAAGACAAAGTAGTACTTTCCCACCTAACTATTAATGCAGGTGAGATGAAACGTATATAGTACACACAAGAATATATCAATTCAAAAAAAAGGGGAAAGTCAAAACAGATTAGATGGCCTTCGGGTATTGTGCTTTCTTTTCTTCCTTTTCTATTCGAGAGTTCTCTTTTCGTGGATTTCTTCGTACGATTGAACATGGTCGCCGACCTCAAAAGCGGACCAGTCATCAAAGCCCATGCCACATTCGCTGTCCTTGCGCATCTCGACGACATCTTTCTTGACGTTTTTGAGAGATGAGAGGGTGCCTGCGTATTTTTATTAGTTTGGTCTTCTTCTAGAAACAAATATGCAGTGCTTAAAAAAAAAAAAAAAAAAAAAAAAAAAAAATAAGAAACTAGAAAAACTCACCATCATAGATAATTTCCTTGTCCCGCATTACGCGGACTTTCTTGGAGCGACTGATTACGCCGTTGCGGACCTTGCAACCAGCGATCGACATCGTTTTCCGTCCCTTGATGGTGATGTCGAATATCTGACTGATCTCGGCCTCACCGGTAACACGGTGGATGATATTCGGGGGTAGACGGTCGGTCATTACGGCTTTCACGTCATCAATAAGTTCGTAGATGATAGTGTGGTTCATCATTTTGACACCCTGGGCTTCAGCCATTCGCGAAATCATGGGGTCAACTTCGCTGTTAAAGTTGATCACCGAGGCATTGGATGTGGCTGCATGTTTGATGTCAAACTCGCTAACCTGACCAACACCGGAACGCAGTATCTGGGCGAAAACGTCGTTGTTGCCGATTCCACTAACTGAGCCACAAACTGCCTCGACGGACCCAAAGACATCAGCCTTGACAATGAAATTGACAGGCGTAGGACCTGTCGGCGCTGTTTCAACTTCATCTTCGCCTTCTTCACCCGTGCGACGTCTGAGTTCAATGGTTTCGCGACGGTTTTCGTTGATCGCGTTCATGTCCTGTCCCAATTTCTTGGTCTCCGTCCTCTCCATGCGGTATTCTACAACCTCTTTGGCATGCTGTTCGCTCGACGCCTCCAAAACCTCGGAACCTGCTTCTGGCTGTTCTTTCCAGCCATCAACTTCAACAGGCAAGCCGGGTGTTGCCTTTTCCAAAGTAATTCCAGCCTCGTTTTTCAACGTCTTGATGCGTGTCCAAGTAGAACCGGCGACAAGGATATCACCAGGGTAGATCGTGCCTCGCTTGACTAAAATGGTGGCAACACGGCCAGCTTTCCTTGTAGTGGCTTCGACAACCCACCCTTCGGCATTTCCTTCGGTATCAGCTCGGTGGTCGAGAAGTTCCGATTGGGTCACTATAGCTTCCTCAAGCTCTAGCATGCCCTGGCCAGTTTTCCCGCTGACAGGGATAGCCTGAACGTCTCCTCCATAGTCTTCAACATCAACGCTATGGCGGGCCAGGTCCTGTTTGACCTTTTCTATGTTCACGTTGTCTTTATCGACCTTGTTGATTGCCACAATTATGGGCACATTAGCCTGTTTGGCGTGGTTTATCGCTTCCAACGTCTGTGGTTTGACACTGTCGTCAGCGGCCACAACCAGTACAACGATGTCTGTCATATCGGCCCCTCTTCGGCGCATGTCCAAAAAGGCGGCGTGGCCGGGTGTGTCAAGAAACGTGATTGATTTGCCAGATGGCATTGACACAGAAAATGCACCAATATGTTGGGTAATACCACCGTGCTCGGATGCAGCGACAGCGGACTTTCGAAGCCAGTCTAGAAGCGTTGTTTTTCCATGGTCAACATGTCC